TCAGACAAGATCAAATAGAGTTCTCATATAGTTTAGTAATACTAAAAAAGTGCAAATGTTTATTCAGTCTTTTTCTCAATAAGCTTCAAATATCTGAATTCTTTGAAAATAGAAATGCCTATCCTCACATAAACAACATTATGGGCAAAAATTATAAACAGCAACTTCATTTCAGTTTCATAAAATAATTTACTACTGATAGTACATACCTCATAATATATCATCATAAATATGAACATAATTCAGCAAATATTTTTACATAATTATTTCAGAAGACTGCTGTTAAAGAATTATTTCAGCAAGCGTACAAATGATTTTACCTTTGTGCTCCTTTAACTCTTAACTTGTTATATGTTATTCCTAGACAAGACTGAAGCTAAATTCAGTATCATATAAAACAGGATGCGTTATAATGAATTAGTAGGCTATTCTATGCAGATAAATATACATTTTATTAATACATGTTCTTTTATTAAGTCATCCTCCCCCACATTCATTCACTGGTTCAGCTTCCCCAGCAGCATTACACAACCAGACTGCTGATCTACTTTAAGTTGTCATAAATTAACTTTAAAAGATGTCTTGAAACTCAGTGGCTTCATATAGAGATCTTGAGAATCATACCTTCCTTCTAGGGCTCCTACAGACCTGACTGTTACCTTATTAAAAGGAAGATATGAGTTTACAGAAACTTGCATGTACTCACAGACCTCTTTTTAGCACAGACATTATACCATACCATTCTGCCATAGCCATGGCTTCTTCTGTAATGCTGAGTTTAGGGCTAAGGTTTGGAGTGTTCTTTAGCCAGAAGTGGAAGAGTTATAATTATTCTCCTTATGTCTTACTAACAGTTAGAAGTTCCACATTTGTGAACTAAGTATATTTCTAAAATCTCACTTAAATTCTTTCGAAAGTCTTGCATACACCTCAGTGAGGCCATGAAATAGATTTTTGCAATGCACATGGATGTTCATTTTCAGGTGCTTTACAATGCCGGAGCAAAATAAAACTGTGCTAAGTGATCTAATCCAGGTCATGAGTTCTAGCAGTAGATCAAATCTGACTTGACAAGGCCACAAAAGAAATTTCAGAGTTACAACTACAATATCGGCAGGTCCCACAGACTGCGAGTGAAAACTGACTTTAGGAATATGATTTAACTTTACTGGAGGCTTCTAAATTTTTTGTTTGAATAGTTTCTGCCTAATTGATATCCATCTGCCCATGATAATAGCTTATACAATTGGAAAACTGCAGAAATCTGATTAATTCCATTTACCAAATAAAAAAGTTCCTTTTGTCATACACTTAGCTATTTACACCAAAAATATAACTTGTGTTTCACACTGTCATTTTGTCAGTTATGAGTCTGAAAATGCTGTATGCCAATACACTATTACTACAAAGAACAGAAGGTAATTAAATGCTTGTTTTAATTAGCATTATAAGTCAGATTAAATACTATTTCATAGTATTGAAAGTTCCAAGCAGTTATCTAACAGTCTGAAGCCAATATGAAGTACCATATCTTATTTAGTGTGACAAATAAGAAAACAGAAATCTAATCTAGAGAACTTGCATACAGCATTTGAAAAGCTGTGATCTATTATATCCCATTCCTGTGCAACTCTAATTGAAGCAAACTTAGAATAGTGATAATTTTTACAAGTGACTTGTTCTGTTCTCCATCCCTGTACTAGCACAGGAAAAATTATTTCATATTCAGGCTACCAGTATGCTCCCCCAGTTTATAGAGGATTTTTCACCTTATTCCTTTGGAAAAACATAAATTAAAAAAAAAGTAGTTTTGTTTGTTTCTTTTGTGGTTTGTTTTTTTTCTTTGTTTGTTTCTTTGTTTTTTACTATTCCTGCTGTTTCAGATCTTTCACATAACAATTGTAGTCAAGACTTTATGGGTGTTATATCCAACACATTGCACTTCTCCGTACTGAGCACTATATTGTATGAGAGGAAGCAGAAACACCCCAAAACACAAAATTTGACACAAACATTTTGCTAAGCTATAATTTGCTCACTTTACCTCATAGGGCTGAGACCACATTGGGAAACTAATGATATTCGGTAAATACTGGAACATTGGATCACGATAGCAATAAACCATATTCAATTAATGCATATCAAAGTATAACTGAAAAACAAGCCTCTGAATAATGAATGCCCATGTTCATCTGGTCTCATTTGTTGTGTTTACAAAACCTTGCATACCAGGTAATGAAATTAATAAAATTTTATGTCAACATTTCTATGCACAAAAAAGCATTTATATGAGCAGATGGCATCTTTTACTGCAATCCTTACCATGAAACCTTTTCACTTCTGAAAGGAAAGATGAGCAAGCAAGACACAGCAAGACACTGCCAAGCATGATGATGTGTTGAATTATAAACTAAGCTGCACCCACTAATTCACAATCTACAGTGCCATAGAATTTACCCCAGAGCGTTTTGGAGCCCATTACCCCCCATAAGAGCACTGTCTTCCAATCCACTCCCTCTTTATACCCTTTTCCACCCTGAAAACTATATCTGTTTCCTACTAATAGCTTTCAACTCACATCACTGTGATGTTTTCTCACAGGAAGCAGAAAGTGAGAGGAGTTCACTTTCATCAACACTGAAGAGTCATCCTGGGAGCCAATCTGACATCTTGAATGAGTCCAGTGTGAAAAGGGGGAGAGCAATCTTTGAGAAGATGTCATCAGGGAATGGGCAGAACAACTTTGAAGGTTAGTTTTACCACTTTGATCTGATTTCCTCTTTCAGTAGTCTACAGTAGTGGTCTCCAAACATTTCTGATGGCAAACCCATACGCCTACCAGTAAGACACTTTTGAGAATGCCCTCCCAGTGTACATATATATATTTTTAAATAATATACATGTACTATTCTATAAGTACCATTATATTATGTACACAAAAATAGGTATTAAAAAGAATGAAAGATAAATAATTTAAAACATTAAATTGTTAAATAAATGTTCAAATATACTGATATAAATTAGTTTCTTCCTGCAGCTCAATTGTCTTCTGCAGATCCTGGACCCTACTTTGAAGACCACACTACAGTTTAAGAGAGCATAGGTACCTGTGCTTTGGTTTAACAGAGAAACAATATTGATTACACTTGGTTCCAAAGTCAAATACCTGTTATACAACACACGAACATGCAAACATATTTGAGATTCCTAAATTGTATACTTCTGTTTGCACTTATATAGTAAGTGTATGCAACGTATCACCATGCTAGTGCAAAAATAGCTCACTACATGACTATCTCCCTTTTATTTCTCCCCCTTCCACTTACTCCTCCTGTTCTCTCAAGTCTATGCTGGTAATGTCAGAGAGAATAGTGCATTTAATTCCTTTATACATAAATTAAACAATTCACTTCATCACAGAAATGGCAATGGACAATCACACATATACAGTAAGGGAAGCTTCTAATAAGGGAATGTGACATGCTTGTCAATGCAAAATTAGTTAGTTTGTTTTTTGACGGGTGTCATAAGTCTGTTCAGTAATTATTCAATAAAATATAACAGAATGGATTCATATGTTTTGCAAATGTATTCTATATAATTTTCATTTATGAACGTTGTGAAATGTTTTTGAAATCTTCAAAGGTCAGTAATTTAAAGTTTACTCATCTCATAATTTTTGATGAGGACAACCCAAATCTACAAATAAGTTATCAAAAATATGGACAGCATTCATCTATTATGAAAAGCAGTAATTTGATTTTATATTTCACTGGAGATAGTTTGGATTTGGCGTTGTGTTATTTTTATAATATGTTAACATTTAATTGTGGCTTTCTGCTTGTAAGTTTTACATGCCATATCAACTGCAACGTGTCATCTCTAGGCAGAACTTAAAAGAATATTTAGTACTGAAGAACACTCATTGATCAAATATAGGTTTTTTTGTTTGTTTGTTTGTTTTCTTTTTTTCTTTAATAGCACAGAGCTAGAATAGAGCAGGAGAAAAAGGATCTTTCGATAAAAGGCAAGATGATAAAATTTACTTGTTCATTAGTCTTGTAAGCTGAGTATTCATACTGTTTGATGAGTTCAGAGCAAATCTTAATTTTAATGAGCTCAACCTTACTCTCAGTCGAGTGCAGCACCATGACAGATTCATAGAGCTTAGCCAGATACATTATCTCATTTGGGTAAAACATGTATCATAACTTTGAGACTGTAAACACCACGCTGCCTCAGCAAGCTGTATCATTCCTGTTAGTTCTGTTACTATAACAAGTACAACATAGCAACACAACATTAAATGGCTCCAAAACCCAAGGTGTTTCATTTTCCTAACTTCTGGTCCAAGTTTACTATAGATAAACTGCAGGATGACTCTGTATTATATTACAAAATGTTACTCTTTTTTCAAATACATTAAATTTAACATTAAAACAAAACACCTTAAACATCAGCACAGATAAATTTAAATGCTTACTCTGAAGAAAGCTAAAATGATTAAATATAGTGAATCTGCAGAAACTTTTTTTTTTCCCCTCATGGTCAATGCACAAAAAGCATGGGCTGGAGTCTGAACCAAGCCTATATGATTGATTGACAGATCCTATAGAATTGCCACACCTTTTCCCTCTACCGAACCTTTCCTCACATTTTAGAAAGACAAAAGATATTCAAAGAGGCACCTCTCCTCAAAAGCTTCGAAAAACTATTTGCAGATTCAGGCAGAGATTAGGAGGCAAATAACAGACCTCCCTTTAAAGGTGGATCACAGGAGAAGTACTTTCATTAACATAGCTCTAATGTTTCCAGTAACTAGCCCTGTAGTGTAACGCTAACAATTTCCCCCCTCCCTGGAGATTTCAATGACATACTTCAAACATCAACCTCCCTTTGTTTTTCGAATTCTAAACCACTAAAACTAGGATAATAATTCACACTGACATGTGTAACATCTTTTTTTTTTAATCTATCCGTGAGTACTACTGAATACTTACATCCATTATTGGAGACTTGTAATGCTGTAGTTGAATGCAGTTTTTAAACAAACAGGATCAGCTCAGGAATGAAGAACACTCATACCATCAGCATTATGTCATTAATACTGCAGAGGGAAAAGAATGAAGATGTCACACATTAACTGTAATTCATTGGGCTGAAGCGGTTTTTTTCCACCACAGTGAAAGCTCTAGTGATAAGATCAATATTTTAATGAACTTTCTTTAAGACAAATACTATATATACTTTATGACTTGAATAAAAGTTTCATCTTGGTGAAATGAAATGGCACGAGGGACGAGCATCTGATACTTGTTTGAACCTAGTCCCAGGCACACAGCAACTTATAGTTATAGTCACTTAGAGCAGGTTCCATAATGGCATTTGGGGACTTCTTGGAAGCTCAGGCTGGGGAATATTTACTGTTCTGAGAATGACAAGCCCTTTCCAGCATATTAATGTTTACCAAACATTACCAAAGTAATCTGCATTTTGTAACACCATAAGAAACTCTTAAGTAAGAAGTTAACATGCAGGCTAAAAATTACCTGTTACTTACCTAGTGTGAATTCAGTTATATTGCAATGTAAAATTACAGCATCAGTTGATATTAAAGATCTGACAAAACTGAAGTGTATTTTTTTCTAATATCTTAGAGCGAAACATTTATAATCACATGGCTAAGTAGACATAACACTTGTTTACCCACATGCCATAAATTCGGGTATTATTTAGTAAGACAGAAACAACTATTTCCTTTGAAAAGGAAAAGGAAAAAAAGAATGTGAATCACAAGAATCCTTCTGTTTGGTTTTTCACGGCATGTTTAGCAATTCCAGACTCAAGTAGACCAAAAAGTAAACCTCAGTGAGCAAGACCTCTTTTAACTAAGGCCACCATTACCTGTTTTATCTGTAAACTACTGTGATACTTATTTAAATCTCTCTTCTGCAATGTTTTGAAGGACGAGTGATCATTTCTTCAGAGATCAGGATTATTTGTCAGTCAAAGTCATTACTGTAAAAGTGGATTTATTTTTAAAAATATTATCTACATATGGTGTTTGGAGAGCTATATTTATTGGCTTTCAGTGACTTCAAAAATGTAACTGACTCTTATTTTGATGTAGTTATGCTCTTCAAATGTTAGGGCATCAAACTTGTCGTCATTAGCAGCCAAGATTACTTTCTGCTGTAGAATTATTACCTGTTTCCCTAGCCTTACCTTACCTTCTTTTATCTTTTTTTTTTTTTTTTTTTTTTTTTTTTTTAAACACAATAACGTTATTTTCTCCACAGACATCTGAGTAACAGGAAACCTGTCTAAGTTTGACTGATAATAACATTGAAAGACAGAAGCCAGTTTTGTGGCTTTGACAAAACTAAAAAAGTCTTTTGTTACAAAAGGCAGTAGATAAGATTTTGTAGCAAAGAAGAGGAAGAATATTTGTAAGAAATTTCCTCATTTATAATACATTAAATTTATAATGAACTGCATTCTACAATCCAGAGAGAAATTGATTTGAGGCAAGAGCAAAAAATTGCTCTTAGTAGGAAATCACTTTTCACACATCTTTGGCGATGCTGGCTTAAAGGGCCTCATTCCCTTCTTTCCTCACATTTAACCCTCTCACCACACTGAATGACAGTGCCTCTCATTTGTGCTGCCAAATCAGTCAGCACACATTGTGAACCAGATCTCAGAACTGATACAGATAAGAAAAGCAAGACTATAAACAAAACAATCAAAATAAAAAAAGCTCTTATTTCAATTTGGATTATTTTACTCAAAGCCACTGGTTTGATTTATTGTGTAGGTCCTTAAAACAGTTGTACCTTCGCAAGTAATAGGAATGGTGTATTGCAGTCCAAGAAGGAGAGTGAGAATGAACAATTCTGAAGGTATCGCTACTGTGCAAACACCAATGTTGTGAAACCTCTCATTTCCAGAGGCAACAAGTTGCAGCTTCAGCAGAAGTTGTTAAATGGCTTTGAAGTGACAGAGCTTTACTAATGATATTTATTAGGTCTAAGGAATATTTATTAGGTCTAGGAAGAAACACACCTCTGGACAAAGGGACTCTCACCAAAGGATTGACACAACTGAAGAAATCTTAGTACTTAAACTCTTCAAAAATAAAAATTATTTCAATGAACTAATGCCACCTTTCAATGACCTAAGGATGTATTATCAACTTTTATTGCTGAGTGCACTTAACATAGGCCCAAGGCTATAGCAAGAATTTTATTTATAACTAAATCAAACAAAGCTTAGTTTGGGAAGTAAGCAAGTGGTAGCAGTTGTACAGGTAACCCAGAGTCACCAGGTTCTGCATTAGGTTTAACTGTTCTGTGTATCCTCTGTAATAAGATTCATCTGAGTACCTACTATGAACTGAAAAATCCGCTGTGCTTAATTTAGATTGTCTTCAAAAAAATGGGAAAATATTGACAATAGCATGTTTTATGAATGATTATTTACAATTGATTGTAAAATTATTTACAGGAAAGAGCGATTGTAATTGGTAGGGTTTTCTCTGAAGAATAAATTGTAGGTTAATTAAGTTTCTCATTTGTTTTTGGTATAAACATTGTTTTCTGCAAATAATTGTCAAGTTAAACTATCAGTTGAATTAGTATGTAGGTAACACACATGATGTTTTGCAAACATATCTGCTATCTATGAGCTGGAGGCATTTGGACATGACAGAGTGACATAAGAATCAGAAGTGCAGTTGATTTATTTAAATTGCAGGTTGTTACTCAGGTTTCAGAAAGCCCACATTAACTTAAAGTCTTTTTACAGTGCTGTGATCACAGCAACTATTTTGCACATTTAAATGAGGTATACATTACTGCACATCTATTTCATCCACTGCTCTGTTTAAAAGTCTGTCCCAGTACAGCTTATAAAAGAAGATCCTTGCTAAAGTCATTTACAACTAGTCTACATTGGTCTCTAGGGCTGTAGGGCTTTACAGAAAGTTATTTGCATTTCAAATGACTTACAATGAACACTGATTCAGACAACTTAAATGTTACAGCACATAATTAATTACTTGAAATAAACTTGTTTAATTGATAGTCAATGGGCTGAATCCTGAATTGAAGAGGATTACTTTCACAAAAGTATAATAAAGTGTAATAAGAAACTTGCAACTGTGCAAGTAACAGAAGAGTTTGATGAACTTCATTAGAAGATAGAATAGGCTTAGACTGACTCCGTAACAAAAATACTGTATGATGTTGTTATGAATTAACACAAGTTGATGAATACAAAAACTTATAGGCCTTTGCAGTTAATGGGCCTTACCTTCTGTCTCATCATGTCCACCAACTTCAATGGAGTTACCCTAGATTTCTGTGGTCGCAGATAAGAGAATTCATACTTAATCTAAAAAGAATCAAGAGAAATGACAGGTCAGCATGTAAGGTCCAAATTAATTTCTACTGGCAAAAACAAATCCATCTTTGAAAAGACAATAGTTTGACTTTTAATCTGTAATGAATTAGCATCCAATTTGGATAATCATCTTTGAATACTTATCTAACATCGGGCAGCATGTTAGTGACTGTTTGCTCTGTTTTTAGGACATACAGAACAGTGTTTTCTAAACAGAATCTTCCTTTGTTCCCATACCTAATTACTGTCTTGTTCCTAGCTTTTTCAAATAATTGTTACCTGAATAAAATCCATCAGCTCACATACACTAATAAGTTAGTTGCATGTTTTTCACACCCCATCTCCACCTCTGTTGGAACTACGTCCATTTCTGCACCCTCACTGTTCAATAAAGGCAGCAGCTGTCAATCTCAATTGCATTTTTTAGCCACTCTAAGGGCATACCCGGTGGGTGCAAGCATCTGCTAGTTACATAGATTTATTGTGCTTATTTTTCAAACTAAATATAGGAACTCCTATCAGATTGAACCACTGGATATCATCTTTCTCTCCTTTCCCCTCCTCTCCCTCCCTCCCACCCTCCCCAAACCCCTCTCCCCCTGGCAAATTAAAGAGATTTTCAACCTGCTCATTTCTTCTTGGAAGGGTAACTGTTATTACATCAGCTCTTCACCCTCTTTACCATTAGATACAATAGTATTTTTCCATGTGGGAATATTTTTCTTCTCTGTATGTTCTTGAGATTTTCAAAAATCTTTTTTTATAAAAATGGTTGTAAGCAATTTTTTTTTCCTTTTTCCTTTTAAGCTCTTTCAGTTTAAAGATTTTCTTTCTCCTTTCTAACAAGAGAAATGAATCCTACATTCCATACCATGTCTCTGATTCTAAATTGAGCAATGTATGTTTCAGAAGCAGTTTTGATCTGTCAGAAATAAGAAAGCCTATGAACTACATAAAAATGCATAGTCAACAACTCATGTCTCTTACAAGTGAAAGTTTTTCTAAATATGTGATAGACCCATAGAGGATAGTGGGTTGTTTGTGCTGTGTTTTGTTTTTTTTTTTCCTGAAAGGTCCTGTGAGAGCTGTAATGTAACATTTTGCATTCAGACAGTCTTATAAGATGCAAATTCCCTATAGACTCATTTGAGTATTTGAAAGCACTGATGAAAACTCTTCAACTTCTAGTGGTGCTGAACTTAGGAGCTAAAATCTGCAACTATGCACCTGAATAAATCTTCAAAACCTGAAAAATATAAGAAAAGGCTGATCCACAGATTATTTCTCCCATGAGTTTTGGGTTTTCTATACTAAATGCTTCAATTTTTCAGCAGAAGCAGAACCCTCAAACCACATCAGTGCTATAGAACTTTTTACTACGTGTTTCAATTATGCCAAAGCCTTATTCTTCTAGAAGTATCAAGTAACATTTACAGCAAGCTCTTTGGCTGAGTACCAACAACTTCCATTGTCTCCACTGAAGAACAATGAAGGCAATGCTTAGAATGCTATTTAATCTATTACGAAAATGCTGAGAAGCCCAAAACAGATATTTAATGTAGTTGTATCACTGAATATGATCAGCAGTAAGACAGAATTCTCCAGTCTTATTATGCCTGAAAAATTTGTCAAGCTTTATTTACTTTCTATAGTTGATATGTTATCCTTAATAAAGAATTACATAGTCTGAAATAATCGTATGAATCCCACATGACAGAAGAGAACAGCTTTTGTTGACATACCTCACACAAGTAAACACAAGGCTCCTATGACAAAACTTTTCATCATAAACACACATTTATCCTCAAAAGAATCAGAAGATATTACACCCCTGAGTAGTCCTGAACAAGCAAAATCTTAGAGCAAAATGAATGAGAAAGTATGAGGGATTAAGCAACCTGTGGTCTATCCGAAAGGATTTTGTATTAACTTACACAATAACTAGCTTCCAAGGATAGCACATTTCCTTTTTTAAAGGTAACAGGAGAATAGTTTCTATTACTTTCACTCCTCAAGTGGCTAATAATATGTATCTATTAAAATGTTTCTTAAAACAGTCCATTAAATTCATTGGCCCCAATTCAGCAAGGAATTTAATAATGTCTAACCACACGAGTATTCCCATTTCTCTTGATTCACATGCTTACAATTAGGCAGAATCCAAGAATGCCTTGCTGAATTAGGACAACACCAAGAAATGTTTTAAACTTGCAAACATTTTTGAAAATTAGAGCAGGGGCAAAGAAATACTAGTAGTAGTCTATGGTAAATACTGCCATATGCCTTTGAAATGAAATGATATTGTTGGCTGACTATTTTTCTCTGTTTTTGAAGAACACATTCAATCTTTCTACTGTTTCGGTTACATCTGGTTTAATGTACAGAATTCTCACTTGGAGGACAGCAATTTAATCTTTCCCGATTTTACTTCCTTTGAAAACCATTTTCTTTCCAGCAAGCTTTCATTTATTGTAACTGTTGCTATACTTTCTTAAGCTGTAGTAATTATTTCGCTGATCATTATTGCATCCAAAATACAAACATACAGAAACAAATGTAAATAGAAAATTATCTTCACATAGAAGTTTTAAGGAGGGTGAGAAGAAAATACATAGAAGCTGGGTGCGTTTACACTGAATGCTACTCCTCAGTGAGTGTTTGCATCTATGTCTGATTTTACGGAAGGCTGTGATTGCTTGTTTTATTTGCTTGCTATAACTGGACCTGAACACCTATGCCAGCTAAACAGCTCTACAGTGAATGGGCAGACAGACTAGATATGCTCTGGCATTCTTCCCTGTTTGGTGGGATACCTCTTCCCTGGCACTGTTCTATCTAGCTGAACAGATAGCATTTTGAAAAGTCTTTCTGCTGCTTTTACTAATGCCAAAGCTAAACAACGGTCACTTCATAAGAAAAAGGGGAGATTTATGATATGTATATTTTCTTCCCAGCCACCATCTTAGTAAAACAATAATCAAATTCAGCCAACTTAGGTAAGAAGAAACGTGATTAACTGAACCTGCATTTTTGTCATACACATGTACAACCCTTACAGTTAGGCTTCCAGAACAAGGATTTGACTCTGGCAAGAGCTACACAGGCTTCAAGACTTAAAAACATCCAGCAAGTTCCACTCAAAAACATGGAGACAAAAATCACCTGCACCACTCTACGTGCTCCAAAAAAGGAGTGGTGTGTGCTTCAGTGGAGCTGGTCTCCATGGGATGGTGTATTTCAGTGGACTGGGAAATTTGACATAAAAAATGACAAAAAAAAATAACTGCTTGGAAAGGCTTTTTCTTCTTTATGAAGGTAACACCATTCTGTAAATGGTATTGATTAGCACTGAAAGACAGAAAAGTGCACTCTAGTATGTGATTGGTGTTTTATATATACATTAAGAGACAGCTGAATCCGTATGAAGCAAAGATACTAATTTCGTAGCACATCTACAGGTAGCAAGCTGATAGAACAGGAGGATATACCTGTAGTACTCCTACCTGCTTCTTACTCTTAGTTTTTAATTCAGTAATTTCCTCAAGTTTGATAAATTCAAAGAGAAAAATCATGCTTCGTATTTTTAAGGGTGTTTTTCTGTGGATGTTTTTGTTATTTTACACAGTGTGAGGCTTTTTGGGTTTCTTTAGTAGTTTTTTGTTTTTGTTTTTTAAAGACAATTCATTTCAGCTATAGCCTGCTTCTGCAATCTCAGAAAAAGCAGCTGTTTAAGAATAAAAGCAGGGCTGGTTGTGACAATTTTATTTCATCCTATTCTGCAACAACAAGGAGAAACTGATGGATTTAGGGAAGATCAGGGCACACTGATTTGTGCAGTACAAGCACAAGGATTAAAAAAATAGATTCTGCTGGCTTTGCTAAAAATACATGTTCTTGAATTCTCAAGTATTGGTGCCTCCCTCCCAAAATGTGAGTGGCCTATTTACAGAACTTCAGTGTTATTCAACTCAGTTTTCCATGGACTGTAAAAAAAACCTTGGTAGGACAAGAGGAATTTCCAGCATGTGGATTAAACTTTTTGCTTCTGATTACAGATGACAGAGATGCTTACAGCATATTCTTTTTCTCTTTATCTGAAACAAGAAGGAAAAATACCTCAATGCTAAATTTAAGGCACCTTTCTAATGAATTCATATAAATTTATTAGAACTAAAGACTTCCTGGTGCTAACAAGTCAGCGCTGCTCTTTCAGGAGTACTCTGAACCACTGTCTCCACATTCACTGTTTCTGAACTGCAGACAGATAAGCTGTAACATACTGTCATAAAGGTAAGAACATTCACACACTCTAATTTTGAAAAAATGCAGTTCAGCTTTAATTCTTGCCTTGCATTACGCGTGATGAGTAAGATTCCTCCTTTTGCACAACCCTGAATAAGTAAAGCACAGTGATACCTGTGCGTGCTTGAAGAACAGCCAGGAACTATCCCATGACCTGCAAGTATTTTCCAACATCATTTGTAAAATTCCCTTAGCAAATGCTTTATTTCAACTGTTTAATTTATAACGAAATTACATTTCTGCAAATCAGACAATTCTTTAGTGAAACTTAATTGCAATACCTGATGGATAGAATAAAAGATGCAGAAATAGAACAAATGATCAAGAGTATCACTGTCTGAATTTAGAAAGCTGAGTCTTTCAAAAGGAGTGACAGCTGACAGCCCTTGCCCAAGCTGAAATAGCCTTATGGAAGCAGTGCTATTGCACTGCATACTGATCATGATCATAGTTAACACCTGAAAATGGACTAGCTGCTTGTGCTCATAAATTGGCTAGATTACATTTTGAGATTGGAAAGTCACATAAAGTGCTATCATATGTGGGTTAAATATTCTTTTCTATGTTGGTTGTGTTTTGTCACATACGGTTGATAGGGTACAGAATGATTTACAGCTATTTTAATTGAATTCTGTGCTATATTTAAAAGCTGGTATTGGTCACAGGTATTACAGGCAACTCCAAATTCCTTTTCCAAGCAAAAACTCTTTGACTTCAGGGACACTACTGCAGTTCATTTTCAGCACAGGCTTTCAGAATTAGCCTTTGAACATCAACACTTCCCTAAACATTTTCAATGAATAGTTTCTTAATATTATCCCCACACTGCAGTACTACCAACACAAACATGCCTAAAACTGGATGTTTAAAATACAATGTTATTTCCCCCAAAACGTTCCCTAGTTTCAAAAACGTCACTAAATTCATTTTGTCTGTCCTAAATAACTTCTAACCTGGAAATAAGATATCATTGCTAACAAGTTGTTATTACACTGAGCTCCTACTTCTGCTTTCAAGATTTTGAGAAAAAATGCACCTGTTTCCTACTCAGGAATCGTGATCCCTTTGTATTTGCAGTGGGTCGTCGCAAACGTGTAAGAGGATTACCAGAAGAGAGTACTGCCAAGGCTGGGAACACGCTGATGGACTTTGAGGAGACTGTCTCCTTGAAAGAAAAATTGGCTCTGTATCAGGCTGCTGTGTCCAAGGCAGAGAGCAGCAACTCCTTCTCTAGCGTAAGACAACAGTGCTTCACTACGCTCTTAATTCTGTGCTTGCTCTGCATACCAACACATCATAGCATTCCATATCCATTTAAGCTTGTGGAACACTGTGTGGATAGTAATTTAAAGCATAAATTATCAAATTTACATAGTAAACATATTGATCCATCAGTCTCTGTCTCTACCGAATGAGATTTTTCATGCTATGTACCTTTGGTCATTCAGACAACTGCCTTTAATTCATGGAATTACTCTTTTTTTTTTTATTCCATTGCTGCATGAATTTCATTTATTAGGAGTGAAAGCATAAGAGATTAATAATATACTTATTTTATTAGCTCATGATAACAAAAAATGACAGATTATCACTAAGAGTATTTTCAATCATGAAATAATAAATAGCACATTCAAGAGATTCAGTTTAGAACTCCAGCTGTTCAAACTACAGAATTATTACATCACAAAATAGCAACTCTATGTGATCAGATATAACAGAAGGCATTGTTTCATACTAAAATAATTGAAAATAAAGTCACTATATAAGAACTAGTTTAAAAACCTTACTAATGTAATTTTAACTATCTCTACACACCTTCACTAGGAATTGAGCATTTTACAGAAAGTTTACTATTACTACCAAGAAGCGATGGGGATGAATAGTACAGACAGTTTAAAGAAGTTGAAGGAATTTTAATTAAAAGAAAAAAACCTTTTTCCCAATCAGTACCATAGGAGAATGTGGAAAACAGAGCTTATAGTTTGTGAGAATCAAGTTAGAATATCAGAAGATCTAATGAAAACCTCAGTTACAAGTTTGCTGCAAGATAAAGCAAAGAAGTTGGTCTTCAGGTTCAAAAACCCAAGATGAAACTACCAGACAATGAAAGTGTTAAAAAATTAAAATGAAATATGACACTTTTGATGGTGGTGGAAGCAATCCAAAATTTCACTATAAGAAAATAAACTTCCTATTTTTTTTATTATAGTAGAAACTTGCCGTTATCGTAGAAAATACTGTAATTTTTACCAAAACAATAAAAAACCATGTTAACAAAAAACTTCTCTCCTGGAGAAGTTCAACGACAGATTCCACAAAGCTTTTAATGTAAGAGTAAGGATCAGAAAGGTATTTCAATAGTAAAAAGCAATGAACTGTTATAGGCTACAGAGACCGGGGAGCTACTACATACTGCTTTCTAGACATTTCAATTGAAAATATATTTGATGCGTGTTCTGAGCACCTACTGATTAAAAAAAGGGATCTTTTAGCTCTTTGCATAATAAACTAGAGTACTTTTTAGCGTCCCCTGTAACTTCCATATTGCATCTTAGTCTGAATTTTCCTTTTATTTGTTATATAATCAAGACTGTTGTGTAGGATTTACAGAGAGCAGAATTCTCTGACAAATCTGCTAAAGACATAGATCCATTCAACTTGGAGTTGAAGAGAGGTAGGATTACAACATACAGCTTCACAGTCTTGCACATGAAGGAAATAAGAATCAAAAAGAGTATTAATTTGATATTCAAATAAGATACTACTCATTGTAACACAATGGAAAGGACAACAATAGCAGCAAAGTAGCAAGGACCCAGGCAAGAGAGGATTTGCTCAAATGCAACACCCATGGGCACAGAAACAAAGGAAAAAAGCTGCTTACCTTTAGAAGGCCTCAGGTACGTAGGGACTTCTAGCAAGATTTCAGTTCTATTAATTAATGCATATATAAAGACTAAAGGATACAAAGTGCATTTTTACCTTCCCTTGAAATCCTAGCTAGAAATTGTAGCTCAATCAACTTTCATCAGGAAATGGAGGCACTGTGCTGGCTTGTTACAACAATAGAAAAATAGCTGGTCTCTACTTACACTAGGATTTCAGAGCACAGAGAGCACTCACTTTCCCCTAACTGTAAAAGAGGAATTTCTGTAAAGCAGAGCATGCACCTAGCAAAAGAACAAAGCCAGTCCATGTCTAGCCCCAACCAGTCACTATGTCTGCCTACATAGAAAAAGAGTTGTAGGATTTCCCAATTTTATTTGCACTTTGCCCTTGGGGCAAAGGAGGGGCTTGCAGCAGCTGTGATGACCTCCCAGTACTTGGCTGGCTCAGAAGCCACCTGGTGCCAGCAGTCACCAGGTGTTTTCAAACTATGAAAATGGTGTCTGCTGGCTTTAATTGCCTTTGTGTGTTAAGAGCAGATGCCTTCAATTCTTCTGTCTGAGGAGGTGTTAACTCCTTCCTCCTGCACACCTTCATTGCTGAAATTAGTTCTACCTCTCTAAAGAAGCCTGCCCCAATCTAACCAATCTAATTTTGTCAAGAATATCCCAACTGCTTCCTTTATACTCTAAACTTCACTGTTTCCATTTGAAATTGATTGTTGCTTGAATAAAGAACTGTGTATGAGGTTCCATTAAAGGGAATGAACGTACTTCTTTAAAGGATCTATAACTGCATTTAACTACTCTAAATATCTTCAAAAGGCTGGCAAGGTGTGCCTGCAATGTTTGTTCATTAATTACTTTTCACATTCACTCACCTACTTCTATATAGAATTATGCTTCCCTTGGGAGAAAAAATTATGTTTTTTAGTATCTGCTTACTTAGCAGATTTATTTGGTAATCTTCATTACAATGCAATTTTTAATTACTAGGGATTTTATTTTCTGCATATTGGTTAATAAGTTCAAATGCTTAAAGGTTTGTTGGCTTGCTGTCTGAGAGGTAGCACAAATAAGGAACAGAACCAGAATAGGAAGCCTGAAGGCACTCTTCTAGCCTTTATGAAGAAGAAAGATCATCTCACAGAGGTCTGCCTTAAGTTCTCTGTATGTTTCTCCACAATAGCTACTGAGAAAATACAGAAAGAGCCAGCTGGCAATACTGAAGGCAACAAAACTAAAAATATACAATTAGAAGAAAGAACTGCAGAGAAGGTTTGTTCTGAAAAGTGACTGCTACTGGCAAGCAAGTAGATGGGACCTACTATTTCTGTGTTAAAGATTCTAGCCAAAAGTCCCTATTTTTCAACTAGAGGTAATCCTGTTGTTCTCTGAATCACAATTTATGGTTCTTGTTCAGTGGTCTAAGAATTTGCCAGCTATGCTATTTATGACTGTCTGTCTTCCCTGCCAATGACTTGAGTAACTCTTGCAAATAAAGAGCATTACATGGCTGAAAATATGCAACTAAGTTTCTGAGGAAAGTGGAGTCCTCAGACAGTAGTTTTGGCAGAGAAGAATATGCAGCTACACCAGCTGGATCTATTGCACACAGACACGCTTAGCAATTAGTGTTAAATAAATTCCAAAACAAATTTATAATCTGCAAATCCTAATTATTGATCTCAAATAAACATCCTAAAGTAGGCCAATGAGATTTAAAAATTAATCTTAGCAGTATACGTGTTCTATCTTTTGATGACAAACGTCAAATAACTCTTTTACTACTATATATCTATTCTGAATGCTAATTCCTATGCAGTATTGAAGTTTTAAAAATTTACAGATTATGTAAGTTGAAGTTGCATATAACATAAGAATATAAGAGAGTACAGACATAGTCAAGTGCTTTCAAAGTCTCCATTTTAAATTAATAAGCATTATGGTGTTCTGCTCTTAGCTATTTTAAAAAAAATTAAAAAAAAAAAAAAAAAAAAAAAAAACATGTTCTTACTGCAAGTGGAAATCAACTGGCCTTACTTTATTCCTCTAGACTCCAGAGAAAACCAAATCCTCTACTGTGTCTGGTGGCCTGGCAACAGTAAGGAAGCAATTTGAGAAAGGGAAGATGATCTCTTCAAACAGGACCTTTGCTCAACGCCAGCACCAGCAGAAATCTGTACAGGTAACAATGGTATTTTTAATACTAACAAATGAGGGATGTCCTGTTAAACAGCTCAGTGGAGAATATGATTATATGCTTTAATGAAGAGTTTTCATTACAGACAAGAAAGTGTTTCCATAGTGTTGATACTTGTAGTACATTCTTAAAGAGAGAATCCTACATTACACATGCAGCAGTCAGCATGTCTGAAAGCAGATTTCTGATATAAAACTAAAAACAAACAGAACAAATAAAACAACCACCCCAGTTGTCACAAATGATGCAAGGTTAAACAGTAAAATACATTTTGTCTGGAGGATGGCTGATGTGCTCATGGTGTCTAAGCAATTAGTAAATTGGGAAGATAATTGCAAAGCACCTATGAAATCATAGAATGTCTTTGGTTGGAAGGGACCTTCCAGTTCCAATCCTCCACCATGGGCAGGGCTGCCACCCAGTGGATCAAGCTGTCCAGGTTCTTATCCAAGCTGGCCTTGAACAGCTCCAGGGAGGGACATCACAGCTTCTCTACGCAGCCTGTGCGAATGTCTTTTTCTAGAATGTTTTAATCATTGTATTATCGGGACCAACTGGATCCTTACTGAGCTGCATCTCTCCATTTTTTCCTATTCTGGAGGTAGCAGGTACAGTTTGGTCCACAGTACAGCTTGGGAAAACTTCAGACCTCATTCACTTGCACTGTTTTGCGGCGATAACTTAGAGTACTCAGTAGTGCTGGCAGCAGTATTTTTCACAGTGGGAAAGAATGCAATTACAACCTGAGCCCGCCTGAGTTCATACAAACCCTAATCTATTGCTGGGTTATGTGTACCCCTTCATTACAAGCAACTCCATCTTAGATAGCAGTAGTATTTTACTGCCTTTCAAATGAAGACGTGGGGGTATGGAAAAGGATGTGCACTTTAAAAAAAGATGGATTTAAAACAACATTTTAATTACAACTAATTAAAATGCTAAAACAAGATCACAAACTGATTATCACCGTAATCATTATTCTGGAAGTAGTTTAGTCTAACAACTGTAAAGTCCTGCTAGTAAGAGCAAGCAAAAAGGTAATGAAACAAATGCTTGAGTAAGCTAAGAAAAGAAAAGTGATGGGAAATTAAAGAGACTCGTGTTCAAGGGCACAACAGAAAAGAATAATGACACATTTGTGGAAATATTAACAAAATAAGAAGTATTGATTTCTACCTTCCTTCGAAACAGTAGCTCTGCTGACTGCCTTGGGTAGACATTAATTAAGCTAGGCAGTCTTGCTAATTAAGTCAAATTTCATCATAAATTAAAAAATAGTGCAAATAAACTGCTTAAATAGCTTCTCTGCCTGGTCTTCAAGTATTCCTTTGTTAACAAAAAGCCTGGTCATTTCATTGATTTATAAAGGTTTACACCTGCAACTTGCATGAACATTAACAGGGCAAACCTAATTGTCTTACCAGCTTCATGACAAATATCTGTGGTAAAAGCCAGAGATACTTGAGAAAAGAACAGGTTGGTTTTTTGTTTTTTTGTTGTGGGTTTTTTTTTTTTTTTTTTTGGTAATAATTTCATTCATATCTTTCAGCTTAAATAATTTGCATATGCTTTTCTGATTATGTGATCCAACCTTGCTGCAGTTTTCTGGGTGAAGAAATATAGAACCATGCACAGAAATTATGTGACCTTTTCACTTACTCAGAACAAAAGAGTTTTCTTTTTGTGATATGAAGATAACAACTTCTGGCCAAGCAATGAAGTCTAGTTCTCTACAAAGCCATTATGATGGTTTCATTTCACAAAAATATGATCTCTAGGCACAAATCATTAGCAGAAATACATACAGACACAGGAAATAAAATCACTCAAACTATGTAGAACAGTTTTTGAATTTAGGTTGAATAACTTACTGAAAGACCACAAAATCCCATTACTACGGAATGTATCTGCTCTCTATTGAAAATGGGATTTTATACTTAGGTAGCTGACCTGACTGAAGGTCACTGAATCGATCCTCAGGCCAAATAAAGAAAGCATGTAATTTGAACACAGATCTCTTGATCTGGATAAATCCAAACCATTGATAAATGCTTAAAAGAAATTCATTTTTTAAGCACTAATCTAAATAGCTGAAGATTTTACCAAATATTCAAATATTTCATAAAGATTGCACAGCTCAGCATTCAAGACATCTACATTTGCTGGTAACATTTAACTATCTTTCTGATTTTTTGAGACCACAGTCATTACTTGTAGCTCTCTTCATTTTATAAAAGATTTATTCTGAAAAGTGAAAAGTGGTCTATTATTGGTAGAAAGCACCAAAATCTTGTCCAAAATGGCAGCAATGAAAGCTTACCACAAAACTGTGACCTGCTTGTTTAAAGACTTGATCTTTAACTTGATTGCAGGCATCATGAACACCTGTTGTTCACAGCCACAGGGCTAAGAAGAGGTCATGATCTTCACTGTTATTGCTTTGAAAATGCTGACCTGGAGTTGTTTGCTAGCTCATAGTCTGGAGCAAAAGTATATTTGTATGTGATAAAGCTGCTTAACATGTAACTGAACAACCAGCCAACCAGCAGGCTGAGACTTAGGGAGAACAGAACAATTATTAAATTTTTGGCTACTGTACGCTTTACATCAAACTCATAGGTTACTGTTTTCTGGTGCCAAAATAATTTGATATTTGGTATAAGCAGAACATTATATCAGTGATTTAAGAACAAATAAACAAACAACAATAAAACAACACTCCAGATCAGAAAATAACTATTACTGGCACTCTGGAAAAGAAAGCAATTCCTTGATCTTTCCACAGAGGCTGTAAAATCACTGTTAGAACAGATCTGAAGGGCACAACAGCTGCTCAGACAAAATCTCATTATCCAGTGTCAGACACAAGCACATTCTGGCAAGCAAGCTTAACCTCCTACATAGGAAGGATGAGTGAATTTTATTGAAAGTATTTGATTTGCACCCAATAATACAGTATCGTCTGTTGGGAAAGACACAAATATGGGTAAATCTCCTTCATCGAGGGTCATTCCATACAAACTTTTTAAAGATTTCTAGAGTAGCAATTACCAATTTTCAGGTGATTGCAAAGAATAAGAATGAATAACATGACAATTTTAGTGAATGGTGGAAATCTAATCTATTCATGAG